GAATTGCTGTGACATAGCCAGGAAGCCATGATGTAGCGAGAAGGCGAGCTGGTTGGGAAAAACTTCATTGATCCGATTCAAAACAACCGGTGTACGCGTTCAATTATATACATTCAATTCTTAACCGCGCGGCAGGATGATTCATGCCTCTTTCTGTTGGCCAATCCCTGCTGGTTTTGGTCCGCACTTAGCATGCACGTTGTCCCTTCTTCCGAGTGCCGTTCCGACTGGTTTGACCCGATTGTAGCGCGAGATACGTCGATCGACAGCTCCGACGTAGTGGCGTTCGGTGGATATCTTTCTGGCTAGATGCGGATTGCCCGTCGGACTGTAATTGTCTGTTCGTTCGTTTCGGGTGGTAGTCAACATTGTCCCTCGAAGTACTTCCATCCGCTACGTTTGCCCGTCTGGTTGGATGATTCCCACTCTTTATTCTTTAGCTAGCCGGACCCATCGTTGTACCACCTTCCATCACAATGAGAGCAGTTACCTCAAGGCGCCAAAAGATTCAAGTCCGAAATAAGGGATAATTGAGAAACATAATCAAACACGGATGAATAGTTTAGTAAAACACAACGGATAGACTTAGTCCAATGGTTTAGTGACTTACCAATGGTGGGCGTATACTGCGTCCAGTGTAGACGTATCGGCCTTAAGTGGAATCATAGGAGATTGTAGTAGTTGGTGCAAGCTACTCTGGATGGTCTTTTTAGTCAACTTTGGAGCTGTCGAAGTGTAGTCTTTGTAGTAATTGTAGTAGTAGTAGTACGCAATAAGCGCGGAACGTGAATCACGGAATACGAATCACTAATTGGCAGTCACGGACGTCACGTAAGCACTGGATCACACTGGCACTTGCACGCAATATCCCATGGAACCGAGACACGAGGATAAGGCCACAGGAGTAGTAGTTCGTCTAATGAAAGAAATCAGGGGGTTTAATAACATGTACAAAACAAGCTAATTGGTCATCCAGGCTTCTGTCAACTGTGTTTTAGTATTTCTGTCGTTGTTCAGCTTGCCTGGGTCACACGGCCTCCGATTGATTGGTACAATCGACCAATGGTTTGTAGTCCAGAAGCTGTGGCACGCACGTGCTTTGCTGACGTCACTCGCGAAGTTTGATTGATCACAGTTATCTTAAAACTGTAAAGTGTCGGTACAGAGTAAGCCCCCTCTCGTAGGCCGAGATCACCACAAGAGGTCAGCGCAGTCTACGTGCACAATGAGGACAAATATTAGTGCAAGCGAGTTTGGTCACGTCTCACGGTTCGCAGAGAATCCGTGAAACCCGGATAGCAAGATGAACGTATATCATGTGATCAAATTAGACCGCCAAAGATGTATGGTAAGGCCCGACACCTAGGTTTCCAGTTTAACTTTATACAACCACTAACCATGCATTTTAATGCACCGGTTTTGGTTGCTGTCTTTTGGCTACCCATTTGAATGAAAGAGCAGAATGAGGAGTGGAGTGTTGAGGGCAAATTTGAAGGGAGGATGACTGAGGTTGCAAGAATAATGAGGAGATATACGAGCGCCACTGTTTGCGACACCCAGCCATACCGCTCAGCGTATATATAACCACCGGTGAATCGTCAAAGAAAGTCAGGAGGTACGAAAGCAGCTGGCATTGTGAGACTGGTCTATGTCTAACCTCTAACCATTCATCTTTCAGGTATAATTGGAACTGTGGCTGTGAAGAACCATCCTGTATATCTCGCAGGGTCATGGAGCGGCGGACGTCATCGTACCACGTGAAGGTGTATTCCCGTCGTGATCGACACCAAGGTAGGACATGTTTTGCAGTTGAAAAAACAGGGGATATGAAGATTGCCAAATCAGCACAGCATAGGGTACAAAAAATAAAGGAATATCCAAAGGTATGAAGATTAAGAAAAGCGCATGATATATGGTGGTATATATAGTAAAGGGAAACCAAGTGATGTGATGATTAAGATATATGAAAAATATGAAAAATATGGAGGAAAAATTGTAATCAAAGATCCAGACAAAATGAAAACTGACTAAGATGATTGGCACCGGGTTAATAAAAAGTCAGTACACATCCGGGAAAAGTGACGGTAGAGATGGACACAGAGAGTGTGGGATACGGTGTTCGGAGAATGTACACCAGGAGAGTCAATTGGATATGTCATAATAGATGTGTTTAACAAGTTACAAAACAGATTCTCCCATCCCACCCCACCTTTACCACGCTTTCTGTTGTGAGCTTCATTCGCGGGATGCGGGATGATCTGAGGCCACATCAAATGCAACACATAATCAAATCAAGTTCCAGTCAACAGTCAACATTGTAATCATTCACTGTGGGAAGAATCTCCATCAAAAAATGTTATCACTTTTGTTTTGGCATATAGTCTTTTAAAATGAGTTTAAATATATGACAAATGGTATGTAGATGATACTGAAGAGGATCCGAGAACCCGTAGCAATTGTAAAACATTTCAGCATGAAAATTTACTTGAGACTGTGTATAAGTTTGCTTGATGTTCGTCCCCTGGAAACCAACAAACGTGAAAGTTAAGGAATAAAGTAATCAAGGTTTAAGTTTATTGCTGGTGACAGAAAGTATAAATGGAGCGAGAGACGGTTGAGTGTAAAGAATAGATAGTCACACGGACGGTCACATGCCTTAAAATAATGGTTGACGATGGAGTCAACCAGTGCCTCATAAGATACAGCTCCATATCTAGAGATGTTTTTCGGAGATCGTCTGATCAATATGAAACCCTAAGACAGTGGACCAAGGAAGATAACGGGAGAGCAGCAGGTCCAGTGGTATAAAACGAGTGTGAAAATAAATTTAGAAATGATGTACAATGGCACCCGCAGATGTCGAAGGCGTGAAACATAAAAGGTCAAATTTCTAAAATAAAGAAATGTGATAGGGTCATTCGAGATCAGCAGACAGAAAACATCCAAAATATTCTGAAAGTTGTGACCTTTCAACGTTTAAGCTATTGATTATGGTGTTGGGAACAGTTGATCCAGAAAGTGTTGGCGGCCTACGATTGATGGAAAACAAAACATCAATGTATTTGTTTGAGTTTAAAGAAAGGTTAACACCATCGGACTATTCAGAAAAATAACTAACTGCTGGCTGAAGAAGGTTGATTGACAGGATGGGGTTGTTAAATGCATTACCAACTACTATGTAATAGGCATATATAAATGTGAAAACAATTGGGGTGACTGGCCAGTTTTAGATGTAAGAGCAGAACAGAAAAGGGGATAAAATTGCACCCTGCATTACACGCTGGTTTACCGTAACAGCGGAAGACCTAATACCATTGAAAAAAAATAAATTGACTTGGGTCGGTAAAGTAGTCATACATTCAATTGATTATATCACAGATGCTACCCACTTCCATTAGTTATCTATTCTAAATAAGTAGGACATCCCGATTTTGCGGACTGTTTTTGGTGCATCAGTTGTAAAGTAACGAAATCTGAATAAAAAAGCATCATTGACTCATAAAAATGGTATTATTCAGGCAGTTTAGTTACATTCGGTCAATATCTTATTTGTCCTCCTTTTTTTGTTGCGCGCTGGTGACAGTCATTTTTACGAAGATTTCACTAAGGTGACTGTAAAAGTCATTTGTCAGTTTCCTCTGATACATTCTACATCCTAGCCATTGACGACCACTGCCCAGGCAGCTGACGTATTCCTATTTCTAACACAGGAAAACGTTTTTTCACTTCATTCAAATCCTAAGTGTTTGTCGATAAGTAAATGAATTCAACGTAGGAACTGAACTCTCTAGAAGCTGTATCAATTTAAGAAAAAGAAACATATGGCAAAGTCTAAACGTTTTCTCTGGGAAATGCATCACTTTTATGAATATACTTCCGGAGTGACAATTATCGAGAACGTGCTCAACATCATTGAAACAAATTTCGCGCCATCCAGAGCGGCACGTACGGGACGACAACATCAAGGTGCGTTTATTCCGACTCATTAGACAGAATTCACTTGTTCTGACAGATGAAATTCAATGGAAAACTGGGTCAATAGATCATCTTTCTATACCCGCTGTATTGCTGATAAACTACAAGTGAGATAAATCCATCAACAAATGGACGCGATTGCCGCGATTTGAATTTGTTGGTAAAATCGATACATGCTCTCCTCTGATGGGCGTTCAATAATGACTTCATATCACGTGACTTGAGCTTAAGTTCAAATTGAGATAAAGTCGATATTCATGCCACGGGAGTGTGAAGCGGTTGACGTAGGTAACTGCAAAGTATTCTGAAAATCCCGTTCCACACAATCAGGAAAACATGAAGACATTGGTTACTAATGATGTATTGAAAAGATTTCTATCTAAATCTGCAGTGATATTACACTTTATGGATAGCGTATCACTGGAGAAGAAATTGTCCTTTGTTCGCCAACTTGCTTTTTGTTTCCCAGGATTCGTCACACAAACCGACGCATCCAATCACTAATTGGAGTCTCTCATGGAGTCAGAACAATCTATCGCCAGTGTTTGTTTATGCTAGGATTGAGCTTACTTACTCGCACTGAAATAAATAAATTTCACGCTTCCGTATGACCAATCAATACACTATTTGTTATCCAATCGCAGACAACAGGATTCGTTTGTTACCTCTCCAGAATTCAGCCAGTCAGATAAAACATACTGGGGCCCATCATATTGGCTGGAATCTAAGTCTCCTGATTGATTGTCTGAATGCTGCTTCATGGTGCTTGTTTACTACCATCCAATCTCGGTGCACAACCACCAAAGTTCTTCGGAAAATATTGTAGAAACCGTCTTGGGCATTTCAAAACACCAGTTTTGGCTTTTTACGAACTCTAGGATCGTTCGCCAGGACGGACCTCGCATACGTGACGATTTCAACACCATAGAGTCTAAAGGGATTCGAACACAGATATGGTGAGGACGGGTGCATTCCAACAAACAATCCTTCGGATTAAATTTGTTTGGCATTTTGTGTGATCATTTCCAGGAACAAAAACACCACTATTATCCATGAGAGCCGGGACATTGTGCGATTACGCTCCGAATTACTTAGTTGCTTGCATCCGTTTTAGACTAATTCATTTCCGCTGAAATGATAAAACAGGTAATGAATACCACTCATTTAACAGAACAAGAAGTACACATGTATACCCTGTTATCTCCAAAAATAATAAAATACTTTATTGTACGACATTTTTTACCGCGACCACAAGGTCTGATAAATTCAAACGTTCATACGCAAGAACTAAGACTTCTGCAGTAGGGGATAGAAGTCTAAATAAATGCTCTTTACCCATGACGACCGATCTTGGAAGCTATTTCACAAAACAATAAATATCTGTTTCAAAGTATTCCCCCCCCAAAAAAAAAAAT